AGATGGACAGGGCAGCAGGCACCTGGGTATATGAATCTGGAGCTCAGGAGAGAGGACTGGGCAGAAGATTAAGTTTGGAAGGAATAGACTAGAGGTATGAATTGGAACCTGGGGCCACCAGAGCCCACCCTGGGAAAGTGTTTAGTAGGGGGGAAGTAGCTGGACAGTGCCCACTGTAAAGGGTCCGAGGAGCAACAGGCACTCTGGAAGGGATCTTGAGAAAGATCCAAGAGTTGAAAAACGGGGAAGATGTGCCTCACAGAAGCCCAAGGAGGAGAGTGCAAAAGGGTAGCAAGAGCAACAGCATTTTAAGTGTTCAGTTTTTGCAAATTAAAACCACAATGAGATGCCACCTTGCCTTAATGCAAGAATGACCATAATTAAAAAGTCAAAAGACAATAGATGTTGGCATGGATATGATGTAAAGGGAACACTTTTACATGCTGGTGGAATGTAAATTGGTACAATCACTATGGAAAACAGTATGGAGATTCCTTGAAGAACTAAAAGTGGATCTACTACTTGATCCAGCAGTCCAACTACTAAGTATGTACCCAAAGGAAAAAAAAGTCATATGAAAACGACACCTGCACACATATGTTTTTAGCAGCACAATTTGCAATTGCAAAGATATGGAACCGAACTAAGTACCCATCAACCAAGTGGATAAAGAAAATGTGGTATATATACACCATGGAATACTACTCAGCTATAAAAAGGAATGTGGTATACATACACCATGAAATACTGCTCAGCTAAAAAAAGGAATGTTGTTTTGCAGCAACTTGGATGGAGCTGGAGGCCATTATTCTAAGTGAAGTAACTCAGAAGTGGAAAACCAAACGTACATCCTCACTGATAAGTGGGAGCTAAGTGGCCGGGCCTGGTGGCTCACACCTGTAATCCCAGCACTTTGGGAGGTCGAGGCGGAGAGATCATGAGGTCAAGAGTTAGAGACCAGCCTGGCCAACATGGTGAAAGCCCGTCTCTACTAAGAATACAAAAATTAGCTGAGTGTGGTGGCACGTGCCTGTAATCCCAGCTGCTCAGGAGGCCGAGGCAGGATAATCACTTGAACTGGGAGCCGGAGGTTGCAGTGAGCGGAGATTGCGCCACTGCACTCCAGCCTGGGTGACAGAGCAAGACTCCATCTTGTGGGGAAAAAAAAAAAGTGGGAGCTAAACTATGAGGATGAAAAGGCGTAAGAATGATATAATGGACTTTGGGGACTCGGGTGGGAAGCTTGGGAGGGGGTGAGGGATAAATGACTACATATTGGGTACAGTGTTACACAGCTTGGGTGAACTAAAATGTCAGAAATCACCACTAGAGAACTTATCTATGTAACCAAAAACCACCTGTACCCCAAAAACTATTGAAATAAAAAATATCCATTTCTGAGTGAAGACCTCAATAACTGCCTCTTTTTGCTGTCAGAGGACACCCCACCCCCCACCAGGACTTCCTGGGCTCCCTGCCTCTTCAGCTGGAACTCTGAACACCCCAACAACCTGTGTGTCCTTCACTAGCCCCAAGGCCTTTCTGGGTCTCGATTTCTTCCCCTGTCCAAGTAACACTGATTGCTCTGCCTGCCCTCCAGCAGGAATCAGTGCTTCAGATGAAAAACTGACGAAAGTGGTTTATAAACTGCCCAAATGATCTCTGGTTCAGCCCTTTCAAATCTCAGGTCTTCCACCAGAGGCTTGGTTGGTTTTGTTTTCTCTTGTCATGGTGGCTCCTTGGCACACTCTTCTCTCCTCTGGCCATGTCTCTGTTCCGACCTGCTTGGTGGTAGCTGGTCTGTGGCTGGCACATCCTGGGGTTTACTGACTCATCCATTCAGCCCTGATTTATTGATAGCAACTTAGTCCTGGGGCCAGCTCCTTGCTTCATTGTTCCTCCCTCTCCTATATCTTTAAGATCTTCCCCTGTCTTTCTCATCTTTTTTCCCCCAGGAGACTCAAGGATACACCATATTTTAAAACAGGAACAAAAATCTGTCTTCTGCTTGTCCTCCTCCAGCTTTCCCTTCATCTGCATCCCCTCTTAACCAAGTGTCTCAAATAATCATCTAGGGCGGTCCTGGTGGCTCACACCTATATTCCCAGCACTTGGGGAGGCTGAGGTGGGAGGATTGTTGGAGCCCAGAAAAACTAGACCAGCCTGGGCAATATAGGGTGACCCTGTCTCCACAAAAAACTTTTAAAAATTAGCTGGGCATGGTAGTGTGTGCTTGCAGTACCAGCTACTCACTACATGGGAGGCCGAGGTGGGAGGATCACTTGAGCCTGGGAGGTGGAGGATACAGTGAGCTGAGATTGTGCCACTGCACTCCAGTCTGGAGACTGTCTCAAGGCTGAGCACGGTGGCTCATGCCTGTAATCCCAGCACTTTGGGAGGCTAAGGCAGGCGGATCACAAGGTCAGGAGTTCGAGACCAGCCTGATCAACAGGGTGAAACCCCGTCTCTACTAAAATTATAAAAATTACCCAGGCACAGTGATGCACACTTGTAATCCCAGCTACTTGGGATTAAAGAATCGCTTGAACCCGGGAGGCAGAGGTTGCAGTGAGCAGAGCTCGTGCCACTGCACTCCAGCCTGGGCAACAGAGCAAAACTCTTTCTCAAAAAAAAAAAAAAAAGACCTTGTCTCAAAAAAATATGTATGTAAAATAATCATCTATGTTTCTTCACCTCCTCTTTGTTGATCCTCTGCAATCTGGCTTCCACTCCCACCTCTCCACTGAAACTCTTTGTAATGAAAATTGCAGTGGGTTGAATAGTGGCCCCCAAATGACATGTCCAAGTCCTAATCCCTGGAACCTGTGAATGTGACCCTAGTTGGACGAAATAGGTATCTGCCAGTGTAATTAAGAATCTCAAGATGAGGCTGGGCGCAGTGGCTCACGCCTGTAATCCCAGCACTTTGGGAGGCTGAGGCAGGCAGATCACCTGAGGTTGGGAGTTCGAGACCAGCTTGACCAATATGGAGAAACCCTGTCTCTACTGAAAATACAAAATGAGCCGGGCATGGTGGTGCATGCCTGTAATCCCAACTACTCGGGAGGCTGAGGCAGGAGAAATGCTTGAACCCGGGAGGCAGAGGTTGCAGTGTGCCGACATCGCGCCATTGCACTCCAGCATGGGCAACAACAGCGAAACTCTGTCTCAAAACAAACAAACAACAAAAAAAGAATCTCAAGATGAGATCATCCTGGATTTAGGATGGGTCCTAAATGCAATAGCAAGTGTCCTTGTAAGAGCAAATCAGAGGGAGACTGGAGACAGAAACACAGAGCAGGACGGCCATGTGGACATAGAGTCAGAGATTAGAGCAGTACAGTTCTAAACCAAAACACCAAGGACTGCCGGCAGTCATCAGGAGCCAGGAGAGGGGCATTAGTCAGTGCCCCTTCAGAGCCTCCAAAGAGCCACCTCTGCAGACACTGCCCTCCAGAGCATGTAAGAAAATATGCTTCCAAGCTGGGCACGGTGGCTCACACCTGTAATCCTAGCACTTTGGGAGGCTGAGGCGGGCGGATCACGAGGTCAGGAGTTCAAGACCAACCTGACCAACATGGTGAAACCCCATCTCTACTAAAAATACAAAAATTAGCCAGGCGTGTTGGCACGCGTCTGTAATCCCAGCTACTCAAGAGGCTGAGGCAGGAGAATGGCTTGAACCCAGGAGGCAGAGGTTGCGATGAACTGAGATTGTGCCACTGCACTCCAGCGTGGGCAACAGAGCAAGACTCCGTCTCAAAAAAAGAAAAAGAAAATACGCTTCTGTTGTTCTAAGCCACTCAGTTTGTAGTAGTGTGTTATGGCAGCCGTAGGAAACTAGTATAGTAGTAATAACAGCAGCTAGCATTTATGAAGTGGCTACCCTGTGCCAGGCACAATTCTAAGTGCCCTCCGAACCAATTGAAGTAGACACACAGTAATAGAAGCAAGATTAACACAACTCATTACTAGTGACTGAGGGTTTGTCCCATCTTTGGTATTTAAAAGTTGAACCTTACACTGAAGGTTCCATAATACTGAATTTTATCTGAGGGTAAAAGAATAACATTTTATTATTTTTCTCTTTTACAGAGAAGGAGGCTGCAGTCCAAAAACTTACATTGCCCGAGATCATACAGTAAATAGCTGTGGAGCTAGAGTTTTAGTCCTAGTAAGTCCTGTGTATGAGCTTAACTGATTTGCACTTCTGAGGCCACTGTTGGAGAGGAAACCAGTGAGGCTGATGGGTGAACTGACCGAGACGTGGGTTTTGTATAACTGGAAGGATGGAAGAGGCCAAGGGACTGGTGAGTCAGAGAAGAAGATTCACCAGGTTGGGATTGGTAGGGTAGGCCTGGTCTAGAGGGGCTGAGAGATAGGGAGGAAGAGATTGGGGCCTTGATAACCTCATAGAGCAGGTGTCCCTGGAGCAAGAAAGCCAAAGGTATCTGTGGTCATCCAGGAAACACTGGAATCTAAGATCCCAGAACTGGGTAATGATAAGGTCTAGAACTGGCCATCGAGGTCATCAGTTGAACAAAAGTAAAGGAGAGTTTGTCAATACACTCTGCTAGGTCGAGAAACCTGGAGGACAAAGGTGATGCTGAAGGAAGCAATAAACTGCTCTGGAGTTCAAAGCATTGAGTGATCACTCCTTGTGCTTATCACGAAAAACAATGAAACCTGAGTTGATTCTTGAACAACAGATGGGAGAGGACAGATGTGAAAGTGGGAAGCCTTTCAAGGTGAAGGGTACAGCCAGGCAAAGTCATGGAAGGGTGAAAGCAGGGGGCATATAGTTTCAAGTTGGTTGCACTTAAGGGTGCATGACACAGTGCTCTGGGAATTATGCCTAGGCTTTGAAAGTGTCCTGATTTGGGCACCTCACAAAGCATATGCTGAATCAAGGATTTAGGTGCAAGTATTTTATTTTTTTTATCTTTTTTTTTTTTTCCTTTTTGTGGAGAATGGGGTCTCGCTATATTACCCAGGCAGGTCTTGAACTCCTGGGCTCAAGCTATCCTCCCGCCTCTGCCTCCCTGAGAGCTGGGATTACAGGCGTGAGCCACCGCGCCCGGCCTAGGTGCAAGTATTTTATTCGAGAGGATGTTGAAAGGAGCACTGTGAAGGAGTGGTGAAGAGAGGCAGAGAAGAGAGGAAAGCCAATAAAAGGTGAGTAAGTTGGGTAACCGGGGACCCTCTGAGAGACTCTGTATGACACACTTTAGAGTTGTTCCACAGAGAGGCAATGATGTCGGAGTATTTGTCTGCCTACTCGGGTAGGTCCAGAATTCTGGTGCTTGAGGGTTGCTCCCAGGGACATCAACTCTCTGGCTATTCAACCCTGCCCAGGTGAGTGAGCCAGCTCCAGCCACCAGAGAAAGCCCTGGGGAAGAGGACTGTGGATGCTTGAGGCATGAAACCACCAGTGTGTACAAGAATCCTTCACAAAATCTGTAGGTCACTTTCCAGATGGGCTAAGGGGCATGGGCAGGGTACCAATAGCAACTGTTTTAGACAGGAAAGTGAGAAGTGTTCATGGAAGCCCTGCAGTCCCACTAAAGGTTTGCTGTTTATTTCTTAGGCAATGAGAAGATCTCACCAGCTCCGGAATGTGCTGTGGGAAGAGGAGGTGAGATGGAGTGTAGTGGAGGCTGTGTGCGCAGCAGGGCCCAGGGAGTGGAAAGATGGATGGGAGGGGACGGCCTGGTGAAAGACCATTGCAGGGTTTGAATGAACAGGATTTGGCAACTGATTGGGTGTGGCGCAGGGGTGGGGTGAATGAGCAGGGGAAAGACAGAATACCAAGAGCATGGTGCATCTCAGCAGGAATGAACATCTCTAGGACATGTCTTGTTTAGGAAGCATCAAAAGGGTGAAGCTAGCAGGGAACACTACCTGCTGAACAGACCAGGAAATCTTTTCTGAGCATTCGTCAGTTGGATTTCTCTTACCTTTAGCTTCCTTAAAAATAATAATAAGTCAATCTTTATTTGTTTTATTATTTATTTATTGAGATGGAGTCTCACTCTGCTGCCTAGGCTGGAGTACAGTGGCACAATCTCAGCTCACTGCAACCTCTGCCTCCCAGGTTCAAGCAATTCTCCTGCCTCAGCCTCCCATGTAGCTGGGACTACAGGCACATGCCACCACGCCCGGCTAATTTTGCATTTTTAGTAGAGATGGGGTTTCACCATGTTGGCCAGGCTGGTCTCAAACTCCAGACCTCAAATGATCTGCCTGCCTTGGCCTCCCAAAGTGCAGGAATTATAGGCGTGAGCCATCGCACCCAGCCTGTCAGTGTCTTTCTCTTCTTGCAGCCACATGAGCCTTGGTTAGTCCAGCTCTGTTGACCCTGCTGGAATTTTTCCCTGTTTATTACAGGAATTGGGCCTCTTTGATTCATACTTCCCCATAGACTGGAAACTTCTTGAGGACAGATTATATCTGATTTATCTTCATATCCCCAGTATACAGCATATAATACACCTCAACGGATACTTGATGATGAGAATAATGATGATAGTTTCCATTTATTGGGTGTTTAATCTGGGTCAGACACTGTGGTGAGCTTTTCAATACATTACCTCATCTCATGATTGGTATATTAAAACTTCTTGGCCGGGCAGTGCCTCATGCCTGTAATCCCCGCTCTTCGGGAAGCCAAAGTGGGCAGATCTCTTGAGGTCAGGAGTTCGAGGCCAGCCTGGCCAACGTGATGAAACCCAATCTCTACTAAAAATACAAAAATTAGCCAGGAGTGGTGGCGGTTGCCTGTAATCCCAGCTACTCAGGGGCCTGAGGCAGGAGAATCACTTGAACCTGGGAGGTGGAGGTTGCAGTGAGCTGAGATCATGCCACTGCACTCCAGCCCAGGTGACAAAACGAGACTCCATCTCAAAAAACAACAAAAACAAAAACAAAAAAACTTCTTTGGTTGTGGGTAACAAAATTAAACTCAAACCGACTTAGGAAAAAATAAAAAAGATGTATAGCACCTAATTGAAAGTTCCATGACTCAGTCTAGCTTTAGGCTTGTCTGGAACCAGGCACTCAAACACTGTTTCAAGGAGCCTTTTTCTCCATCTTTTGGCTTGGCTTTCTTCTGTACTGGCTTTGTTTTTAGAAAGATGCTCCTCGTATTTAGCAACCCCAGTAGAAAAACAGCATCTCTTCTTCAACACATCCAGCGAGGGGTCCATGGCAGACCTTCAGTGCATCAGCTTGGGTGTGTGCACAATTCTGGACCAATCATATAATCAGGGAGATCAAATTTGCTAAATGGCCACACTTAGGTTATATTCCCATCCCCACAGCCATGGGAAGGGGTCAGTCTACCAAAATTTAAAGGAAAATCAGATGCTATCTATCTTTGTCCAGACAATGAGCAGTGGGTAACAATAGCTACTTTCTATAATAGGTATCCTTGTTTTCCAGATAAAGAAACTGAAGCACAACAAAAGGAAGTATCTTGCCAAACATTACTAGCAGGTGAAAAGGCAGGATTGAATTCAGGTGTCTTTCTCTAGAACCTGTGCTCCTCCAGGGCAACAGACAGGGTCTTTCTCATTTCTGGGTCCCCTCACTCACGACCCCCAAGATCTTAGCCCACAGTGGGTCCCCAATTCCAGTGGTCCTCCAAGTGTGGTCCATGGACCATGCAAACTGGCTAACTCCTTGTTCCTAGACCACAGTGAGTTAAGTACCAAAATCCTGAGTAAAAATTTAGAAATGTTTTATAGTAATTTGGAATTGCCACAACATGCAAAGGCTGTGACCTGAAAAGATGGGTCTGAGATTGATTGTAGATAATTCGAGAAATACTGCTCTATTCAGTTATACCTAGAAGGAAGACATGAGCCGTGGGCCTGCAGAGGAAAACATGGGGGCTCCAATGGATCCACCACAGGGAGGCAGGGAGGCAGACTGCCCATCCTACCAGTCAGAAGGTGGTCGCCACTTGGCCAGCCCAGAGAAGTCTTCCTAGGAACCCCACTATTACCATAGGCCGCCGCAGCTGATGAGCCTCTCCCACTTCACAAGAAAGGCAGGCAGGGAGGCTCAGGCCCAAGCAGCTCCAGTGCCCTTGGTTCTAGTCCAGCTGGATACTGGCTGATCCTGCCCAGGGCCTGCAGACACCTGGCACTGTCTGCCTGGGCCGCACCCACCCCGTGCTTCCACACTGTGCCCAGAGGGAAGATGATGGCTGACACAGAACCTGTGGAGAAGCCACCCCAAAACCAGAATTAATTTTTAAGCTGAGGTGGAAGGTCAGCTCCAGGGACACGCTGCCACCTCCCGTCTTGACATGGGCCTCCTTGAGTTGACACCAGGATGTAGCATGGCTCCAACCCTTGCTTTCCCTTTGGTTGGACACTCTCCAATGCCAGGGTCATGCACCAACAGAGCAGCTCCAAGGAAGAGCATTTTCCAAAGCCCAGATGACTCAGGGTGGCGAATGTGACCGGAGGGGAGATTCAGCCGCCAGCTCAGACCTTTGTTTGGGAGTTAACAATTCCTCCACGCTGATTTCACCTGCCTGTTCTATCGTGCCCGGTGCAGTGAAAACATCCCGGATACTTTGGATTACAAGGCCAGCTCTGCAATTTTGCTGAGTAACTGTAGGCTGCTCACCTAATCTTTCTGTATTTCAATGAAATGACTGCATTTGGAAAAGGTTGGAGCACCCATATCACAGGCCAGTTCTGGGGGCGAACTGAGGTAATGCTGTAAAGCACCTCCTATGCACAAGCCCATGGAGCATGGGAGTAGATATGAGGATGTTCCCTCACCCCTTCCAGGAAGCTGGGAGCTGACAAGGACTCAGGCTCAGTCACTTCCAGCTGTGTGACCATGGGTAGGTTTCTTAGCTTCCCTGAGCCTTGATCATCTCATTTATAAAGAACAAAATACCCAACTGGCAAGGCTGGTGCTAGGAGTGAATGCAACTGAATATGCAGAAGAGCATGGCACACAGATTCTCACTCTGTGCTCATTAATTTCACACATATTTATTGTTAATGCTAGGGACTAGGTCGACTAGGTCAGGCGTTGAGCCTACTATGGTGAGCAAAGAAAGACATACCCTGTCTCTTCCCTAGGAATTTAGTAAAGGAAGTTAATTGTGAGTGAAACAGATGGGCATACAGATAATCAAATCACAACTGTGGCACCCACTACAAAGGTGAGGTGCTAAGTGCTAAGTGAAGATGGGACAAGACGTTCAACTCACTTAATGAAGTCAGGAAGGGCTTCTCTGAGGCAGTAATAATTGAGCCAAGGTCTGAAGCATGAATGGGAAAGCATTCAGGATGAAGAACAACATGTGCCAAGCCCTGTAATGGGGAATCCCAGTTAGTTAAAGGGATTGAAAAGAGGCCAGCGTGGTGAGAGACCAGAGAACAAGGTTGGGATGGGTTAAGGGGGGGCTAGAGAGGAGAGGAGAGGCCAGACCTCATAAGCCATATAGGCCACGCTATGGATTTTAGTCTTTGTCCGTATTTTATAATAAATGGGGGTGAGGATTACATGATCATACTTGCTTTCCAAGTAGATCCCTCTGGCTGCAGCTCGGAGGTGAAGTGTGTGCATCAACGTAATACAGTTGGCAGTCAGGAGACCATTGCTATGCTGCAGATGAGTGATTAAGGAGTTTGAGGCTAAGGTGGTGATGATGGAGATGGAGAGGAGGGGTTGGAGGCAGCTGTGTAGGTGAAATGGAAGGCGCTTTGTGCAGCATCACCTAAGTGTGTCAGGAACAATTCCTGGTGGTACTACTGGAGGAGAAGTAGGTTTGGGGATAAGCCTATCAGTCTGGTTTTGAACAGATTGAATTTAGGATATTTCTGAGACGTCTGAGAGACAATGACCATTTCCCATCAGGTTTGGTGAGAGGTAGCCCACTGGTATCGTTTTAAAATAAAGACATTAAAAAATATGGAACACATCACGAATTTGTGCATCATCCTTGAGCAGCTGTATCATTCCAGTTTCAGTGTATGTGCTACTGAAGCAAGCACACCACTGGTACCTTTATCAAGGGCGTTTTTAGTGAGTGATGGAGCAAGAAGCTTGTACATGGGAACAAGGACACTTGTGAGTGATGGAGATGTTCATTACTTTAATTATAGCGAGGGTTTCCCAGGGGTATACATACGGCAAAACTCATCAAATAGTACACTTTCAGTATGTGCAGTTTATTGTACATCAGTTATGCCTCCTTAGAGCTGTCAGAAAAGACAAGTGGGTGGTAGGGACATGGAGACAGTGCAGACAGCCCCTACCTGTGCAGTGGAGATGAGAAACAGAGAGCGAGTGGTTGCTGAGGGAGATGAGAAGGTGACAGAGGTAGCATTTATTTTTGGTTAAGAAGGTGATTTGGGTTGGGCACGGTGGCCCATGCCTGTAATGCCAGCACTTTGGGAGGCTGAGGTGGGCAGATCACCTGAGGTCAGGAGTTCACGACCAGCCTGGCCAATATGGCAAAACGCTGTCTCTACTAAAAATGCAAAAATTAGCTAGGCATGGTGGCGGGTGCCTGTAATCCCAGCTACCTGGGAGGCTGAGGCAGGAGAATTGCTTGCACCCAGGAGGCAGAGGTTGCAGTGAGCCGAGATTGCACCATTGCATGCCAGCCTGGGCAATAGAGTGAGACTCCATCTCAAAAAAAAAAAAAAAAAAAAAAAAAAAAAAAAAAGAAGAATGTGATTTGACTGTGTATAAAGGCTAGCTGGAAGGATCTTATCTAGAAGTAGAGGTAGAAAATCCAAGAGAAGAAGGAATAATGAGAAACATAGGTTCCTGAGGAAAGAGAAAGGGAAGGCACCAGAATCCAGGTAGAGGGTTGGCTTTAGACGAGAGCCGCAGCTTCCATGTTGAAACAGAGGAAAAGAGAAGAGGGTGGATGTAGGGGTGTGTGCATGTCTCTGAATGTCTGCATGTGTATGTGTTCATGTGCATGTGTGTGCGTGTGTGTGTCAGTGGGAGAAGACGTGGCATCTTCTTTCTCAGTTAAGTAGAAAGTGGTACTGGCTAGTACCACCTCTGAGAATAATGGCAGAGGGGTGCAGGTTTGAGGAGTGGTGAAGTTTTTTAAGATGCCAATGGATAGTGGTTGATTACTGAGCGGTGTCCAAGGCCCGTTTGAGGTGAGGGTCCTGGAGTTACAGGGAAACCTCTGGCTGTGCTGGGACTGTCTCAGCAGTGTTTGGCTTGCCAGGGACAGGCACGGGAGGATGCAGAAACGGGGGAGTTTGCTTGACCAGTGAGATGAAGACATAGGGAAGAGAACTCATGGCATGGAAAAGACCACTACTGAGACACTGCACCTCCACACTGAGCTGTGATAAGGAAGCACAAGAGGAAGAAGAGGGTGATGGGCTGGAAGAAAATAGAGGGCCAGTGGCCGGAGGGGCCCGTGTCGTCGGAGAGCACAAGCAGAGGGATTCGTGCAGTCGGTGAGTGGGACGAGGAGAGGCTGTGGGCAGCTGGTGAGGTGTGGGAGTTACGGTTTTAGAGCTGGGGTGGTTCTGGCTGTCAGCAGGGTCCACAGTGATGCTGTGGGAGGTGACTGATGACCAATGAGAGAATGAGTGAATCGATTTGTGTGCTCACCGGAGCCATTTTCTTTCTCCAGTTAGCCCAACAGCCTGTCTGTTTCTCATCCTTTGGTTTACAACAACTTTGCCCCCAACTCCGTGACTTCCTCAGTCTTCTTGTTTTTTTGGGACAGGGTCTCAGCTGGAGTGCAGTGGTGTGAATACAGCTCCCTGCAGCCTCGATCTCCTGGGCTCCAGCAATTCTCCCACCTCAGCCTCCCAAGCAGCTGAGGCCACAGGCACACACCACTATGCTCGGTTAATTTTCTAATTTTTTGACAGGGTCTCACTTTGTTGTTCAGGCAGTTCTCGAGCTCATGGGCTCAAGCGATCCTCCCGCCTCAGCCTCCCGAAGTGCTGGGATTATAGGAGTGAGCCACCACAGCCAGCCTCTCAGCCTTCTTTCATGTTTTAGCTCCAAATGTCCCTTCTACTGGGAAGCTTTGCCTGAATGCCAAGAGGGGTACTTGTGCAAACTAAGCCTCCTCTGATGTGGAGACTCTGCCACCATCAACACCTGCTGCCACGCCTCTTACTCCGTGTTCTCCTCGTCTGGGTTTCTGTGGGTCCCATCCTGTATAATTTTTGTTAGGTTTCTTAAGTGGCGGCTTGCCTCTGCTGGGTGCTCATCATGCATCCACTCTGTGCCTTCACATACATTTCCCCATTCCGTCCTCACAGTAATTTTATGAATAAGTGGCACCATCATACCCTGTCTCGGATGAAGAAGTTAAGACTGCAGGAGATTAAATGACTTGCTTGAGTGGTATAACCCGGAATGGTTTTGCTCATGTTCGCATCCCCAACCCCAGAGCAGAGAGGGTGATGGGTGAACCCCTCAGTCATTCTCTCTGGTTCTCAACTCCTCACCTTGCCTAACTTCAGCTGCCTGATACACACTGGACCCTCAGCAGTGGGGTGCACATGGTCCTCACTTCCACAGAAGCACAGAATCAGGTACAGCAGAGCCCTCTCAGGTCAGCTAGTCCCACTGCCCCGTTCTTCCTTGAGACTCCTGTTATGGACTGAATGTTTGTGTCCCTCTTAAATTCACTGGAAGCCACAACCCCCAATGTGATAGTATTTGGAAACAGAGCTTTGGGAAGATAATTAGGGTTAGATAAGATGGAGAACTTGTGATGAGATTAGTGACCTTATAAAAAGGGAGACCAGGCCGGGTGTGGTGGTTCAGGCCTGTAATCCCAGCATTTTGGGAGGTCGAGGTGGGTGGATCACCTGAGGTCAGGAGTTCGAGACCAGCCTGACCAACATGGAGAAACCCCATCTCTATTAAAAATACAAAATTAAATGGGCGTAGTGGCGCATGCCTGTAATCCCAGCTACTTGGGAGGCTGAGACAGGAGAAACGCTTGAATCCGGGAGGCAGAGGTTGCGGTGAGCCAAGATCACGCCATTGCAATCCAGCCTGGGCAATGAGAGTGAAACTCCATCTCAAAAAAAAGTAAAAAAAGGGAGACCAGGCCAGACGCGGTGGCTCATGCCTGTAATCCCAGCACTTTGGGAGGCCGAGGCGTGTGGTTCACCTGAGGTTAGGAGTTCGAGACCAGCCTGGCCAACATGGTGAAACCAGCTCTCTAATAAAAATACAAAAATTAGCCAGGTGTGGTGGTGTGTGCCTGTAATCCCAGCTACTTGGGAGGCTGAAGCAGGAGAATTGCCTGAACCTTGGAGGCGAAGGTTGCAGTTAGCAGAGATCATGCCATTGTACTCTAGCCTGGGTGACAGAGTAAGACTCTGTCTCTAAATAAATAAAAAATAAAAAGGGAGACCAGAGAGCTGGCTTTTATCCCTCCATGCTCACACACCAAGGAAACATGTGAGGACATCGTGAGAAGGTGGCTGTTTGCAAGTAGGAACAGAGCCCTCACCAGAAATGGAATCAGTTGGTGCCTTGATCTTAGAGTTCCCAATCTTTAGAGCTGTGAGAAATAAATTTCTGTTGTTTAAGTTGGCCAGGCTACAGTATCTTGTCATGGCAGCCCAAGCTAACTAATACAGCCCCTCTTCTGTCTTTTCTTTTCTTTTCTTTTCTTTTTTTTTTTGAGACAGAGTCTCACTTCGTCAACCAGGCTAGAGTGCAGTGGTGTGATCTCAGCTCACTGAAACCTCCGCCTCCCCGGTTCAAGCGATTCCCCTGCCTCAGCTTCCCGAGCAGCTGGGATTACAGGTGTGGACCACCACAACCAAGTATTTTTTTTTCTATTATTAGTATAGACAAGGTTTCACATGTTGGCCAGGCTGGTCTTGAACTCTTGACCTCAAGTGATCCACCCACCTTGGCCTCCCAAAGTGCTGGGATTACAGGTGTGAGCCACTGCACCCAGCCTGTAACTTCTCAAAGGGGTTGTACCTCCTTTTCCTCATGATGGGGAGCTTACAAACTCCCCAAAGCGCCTGTCCATCTTGGAAGAAGAGCTCTGTCTGTTAGCAAGTTCTTCCTCCTTTGGGGTAGAAACCTACCCACTGAAACTTCCACACAACAGTCCCAGTTGTCTTCGAGATTCGCACAGAACAAGACCACGCTGTCTTCCCTGTGCCCCTCCAGGTGTTTTCAGGCAGAGATCACAACCGTCTACCTATTTTAGGTTCCACAAGGACAGAGGCCATGTCCGTTTGGTTTATTTCCGAGTCTCCAGCACTTTGCACAACAGTTGCCCCAGAGGAGAAGCCTTACGCTTGTCTGATGGTTGAATGAACAAAACTATAATACTTTTCTGTGGGTTAAATATTTCTGGTTCCTTTAACTGTACCTCCAAGACTTTGGTTTTGAGCCTTTTCTCCATTCTCCTTATCTCCTATATTTCTATGTTCATTCTTCGGAGATAGAATTTTTACTCCTGTAAAAGAATGAAGTTTTTATCCTTATGGCTTGATGGATTGTCAAACACTCCTCCTACGTCTCCCCTTCTGCAGCTCTGCCTTGTCTTTCCACAGTGACACAGACTCCCCGCTAGAAGATAATGAATGTTGTAAAAAGCAAGAAAAGGGAAAGAAGGCCGGGGGCAGTGGCAGACGCCTGTAATCCCAGCACTTTGGGAGGCTGAGGCAGGTGGATCACCTGAGGTCAGGAGTTCGAGACTAGCCTGGCCAACATGGTGAAACCCCATCTCTACTAAAAACCCAAAAATTAGTCCAGCGTGGTGGCAGGCATCTGTAATCCCAGCTACTAGGGAGGCTGAGGCAGCAGAATCGCTTGAACCCTGGAATCAGTGGTTGCATTGAGCCGAGATCACGCCATTGCACTCCAACCTGGGTGACAAGAGCGAAATTCCATCTCTTAAAAAAACAAAAAAAGGAAAGAAAAGCTGACACTTTTTGCGTTCACAAATGCTACCCCAAATATGCACCATGGTGTTCAGAGGAGGCTAACTGAGGACCGGAGGAGAGGCAAGGTGGTGTAGGTGTTCAGGATCGGAGCGCCGGAACCCAGCAGGACCGTGTGCCCATCTGAGTTCCACCACGCCAGAGCCATGTGACCTGGGGCAGGTAGCAACGTCTCTGAGCCTCAGTCTCCTCACCACCTCATCCCTCCACCTCACAGGGGAGGAGTAAACCTGAGACACTGCCCTTAACAATGTGCCTCCCACAGAACACCCTGGAGCATTGATGGTGATGATGAAGGGGTGGAGGGAGGTGGTGGGTCCTACAGTAGAAAGGTGAAGGCATCTCAGCCAGAAGGAGCTGGGTTCAAGTCCTAGCTCACCCCCTGACTGGCTGGGTCCCCTTAGACAAGTAACTTTACTTCTCCAAGCCTCTCGCTCCTCATGAGGGAAAATAGAGACGATGATAACCTCCTCACAAAGTGGTTGGGAGGATTCACTGAGTGGGTGGCATGGAAGTCCCCAGCACAGTGACAGCCCCCTCAGCAGATGTTTGTTCTCAGTCCCTTCACGTGTGGCACGAGCTCCTGTGTCTCCCTGTCAACGAGTCATTTGGAAAGAAAGGCTGGTTACTTTGAATAGACGCATAGCTCATTACTGAGGAGAAGTCCTCACTGGGGACTGTTGGAAAGAAGGCCTGTGTGTATTCATGCTCAAGTCCAGCCCCCAGTCTGAACCTGTTTGAAATGCCTCCCTCCTTCCTGCCCCTCCTCCCTGTCCTCCTCCTTTTTCTTCTTTATAGTGATGTTGTTCTGGAACCGCTGAACTTGCTGCTGGACAGCACTTAGAATGGTGCCCTAATGCCTGACACATAGTAGATACTTGAATATTTATTAAGTGAATAAATAAATGTTATAGAATAAAACTCAGTCTTTTTTTTAACTGGTGGAGCTAAGTCATTATTTCCTGCATTTGTGAATATTTTAAAATTGCAAAATAAGTTTATATTGATTTTAGAAAAATAATTAGAAACTAGAGTTGATTAAAAAGAAAAAATAACAGTTCCATGCAATCCTATCGTCCAGCCTTAACCACTGGTGCTAATTTGCTATACAGGTCCTTCCAGGCGTTCTTCTGTGCAAATACATTTAAATATCAATAAAGCATGTTGTTTGGTAAGTGGCTTTATTTTTCTTTTCACTTAGTCATATTCTGAATGTCTCTTTGTTCATTGAATATTCTCCTAAATCACTTTTAGATTTTTAATATTTGTGTGGTATCCTATCATATGAATGTCAAATGAGCAAATCTCTAATGTTGGACATTTAGGTTATTTCCAACTTTCTGCAGATTTTTTTTTTTTTTTTTTTTTTTTTGAGACAGAGTCTCCCACTGTCGCCCAGGCTGGTGAGCAATGGTGTGATCTCGGCTTGCTGCAACCTCCACCTCCCGGGTTCAAGCAATTCTCCTGCCTCAGCCTCCCAAGTAGCTGGGACTACAGGCATGTGCCACCATGCCCGGCTAATTTTTGTATTTTTAGTAGAGACGGGGTTTCACTATGTTGGCCGGGCTGGTCTTGAACTCCTGACCTTGTGATCTGCCCACCTCAGCCTCCCAAAGTGCTGAGATTACAGGCGTGAGCCACCACCCCCGGCCTTTTTTTTTTTTTTTAAATACTGGGTCTAGCTCTGTCACCCAGGCTGGAGTGCACTGGTGCAATCTCGGCTCACTGCAACCTCTGCCTCCTAGACTCAAGCCATCCTCCCACCTCAGCCTCCAAGTAGCTGGGACTACAGGTGTAGGCCAC